GGTCCACTCAGTGTGTGTGTGTGTGTGTGTGTGTGTGTGTGTGTGTGTGTGTTGCAGTTTTCGTTTCAAGCTCTAAGCAGACAGCAGCCAGCAGGAACTGTTTTAGCCACTACAGCAACAGTTGCTTCATGAATGTGCCTCAAACACTTTTATGTAAGCCAACATTTATGACTCAACCAGAATAAGGTTTCCAGACATTGACATAGTTGTAACAGGAATGGCAGAAATATTAAAGGTCCCATGTGGTGCCCCGTTCTTCACAAACGAATCAAAGCATCAAATGTCCCCGGAGTGTGTATTTACACTTTTTCAGTTCAAATTACTGAAAAGATGGTTTATTTCACCATAATAGTATAACTCATCTGCTCCTCATGGGCTGTTTTAGTGCCACTCCTGTTCATACCCCATTCAGGAAGAAGACTCTCTGTAGTCACCAGGTGTGGGTTTCAGTTGCAAGCCTGTCACTGGCCAATCATGTCAGTCGGCATTCTCTCTGCCTTCCACTATGTGGGTGTCCTTCCATCCAGGAAACAACAGCAACCTTTGCATTGAAAATGCAACTGAAAAAATCTACTAGATTATAATAAAATAGCTCAATGGTATAGTCAACAACTGCGCATCTGAAAACAGAAATTAAGAAGTCTTGAAAGACAGTGGCGCACGACAAATTCAGAAGAATCTCAGTTATTCTGGAAAGATAGTTTCCTCGTCTATAAAAAAAGCGATCCGCAAGACGAGAACTGCCTACTATTCATCCCTAATTGAGGAAAACAAGAACAACCCCAGGTTTCTTTTCAGCACTGTAGAGCCACGCTGACAAAGAGTTACAGCTCTGTGGAGTCTTGTGTTCCTTTAGCTCTCAGCAGTGAAGACTTTATGACCTTCTTCACTGATAAAGTTTTGAATATTAGACAAAAAATGATTAGCATGTCTGTAGGTGCAGCAGCTCTGGTTGCATCCATAGGACCAGATTTATACTTGGACTGCTTCTCTGCTGTAAATCTGTCTGAGCTCACGTCAATAGTATATTCTTCTAAACCAGCGACATGTCTATTAGACCAAATCCCAACTGGACTGTTCAAGGAAATCTTTCCTCTAGTAAATACGGCAGTATTAAATATCATCAACTTCTCTATATTAACAGGCTACGTACCTTTAAAGTACCTATAATAAAAGCACTGCTCCAAAAGCCGACTCTAGATCCAGGCATTTTAGCTAACTATAGGCTCATATCCAACCTCCCTTTTATTTCTAAAATTCTTGAAAAAGTTGTTTCAAGACAATTGTGTGATTATCTGCATAGAAATGGTTTGTCTGAAGAGTTTCAATCAGGTTTTAGAATGCATCATAGTACAGAGACAGCATTGGTGAAGGTTACTAATGATCTTCTTATAGCTTCAGACAGTGGACTAGTTTCTATACTTGTTCTGTTGGATCTCAGTGCTGCATTTGATACAGTGTATCACAGCATTTTATTACAGAGACTTGAATGTTTAATTGGGATTAACGGAACTGCACTAAATTGGTTTAAATCATATTTATCAGACAGATTCCAGTTTGTTCATGTTGATGATGATTCTTCCACCTGCAGTGGAGTTAGTTATGGAGTTCCACAGGGCTCTGTGTTAGGACCTATATTGATTACCTTGTACATGCTCCCTTTAGGCAATATTATTAGGAAGCACTGCAATAAATTTCCACTGGTATGCAAACGACACCATTTATATTTATCTATGAAGCCAAATGAAATCAGTCAGCTGGTCAGACTCTAGGCATGTCTGAAGAACATAAAGGCCTGAATGACCTGTAATTTCCTTCACTTAAATTCAGACAAAACTGAGGTTATTGTATTTGGTCCTAAACACCTCAGAAACACACTATCAAACCAGATAGTTTCTCTAGATGGCACTGTCTTGGCACCAGTTCTACTGTAAAGAACCTTGAAGCTATTTTTGACCAGGACATGTCGTTCAATAGCCATATAAAACAAGTTTGTAGGACAGCCTTTTGTCATCAACGTAATATTGCAAAAATCAGGAATATCCTGTCTCAGAGTGATGCTGAGAAACTAGTCCATGCATTTATAACTTCTCGATTGGACTATTGTAATTCCTTATTATCAGGATGTCCCAATAATTCTCTCAACAACCTTCAGCTGATCCAAAATGCTGCAGCCAGGGTTCTGACAGGAACCAGTAAGAGAGATCATATTTCTCCCATATTAGCTTCTCTTCATTGGCTCCCTGTAAAAAGGGTTTGGTTCCTTTCCACCGTTGCCAACTGCTTGCTCAGAGGGAGTCCAAGCTACTTTGGATTGTTGGGTTCTCTGCTTAAATTTGTAAGGTCTATACCAGGGGTGTCGACATCCGGTCCTCGAGGGCCACAATCCTGCATGTGTCCTTCTTCCAACACACCTGATCCAAATGATCAGGATCGTTATCAGACTTCTGCAGAGCTTGATGATGAGCTGATCATTTGAATCAGGTGTGTTGGAAGAGGGAAACATCTAAAACATGCAGGATTGCGGCCCTCGAGGACCGCAGTTCGACACCCCTGGTCTATACCTTACTATGTTAAGCACTGTGTGGTAACATATGTTGTAAACTGCGCTATACAAATAAAATTGAACTGAATTGAATTGAATCTGGTTCGTGCAGTATGGCCTCTCTGCTGGTTTTTCAATGGATTATCCACTTAAATAACTGTGCTCGTCTCCCTGCTTTAAATGCTCCACCACAACAGTTCCACCCTTCATTATTTTGAGGGAACAGGGAAGCCACACCCTTTGCTTAGCCCCGCCCATAATGACTGTGATTAATTTAAAGAAATACAAACAAGCCAGAGCTTACTGCATCAGTGATCCACACAATGGAACAAAACAGCTGACTACAAAGCTGGTAGTCTTGATTTCTGCAATTCTGCAGTATGAGGGCCCATCAAAAGGTTCTGGGCCTGACCAAAAACAAGGTTTGTAACTCCCGCTTTATACTATAAAGCCTTATATCACTGTCTACAAGACTTCAAATGTTTGAAGTAATCATAATCAAAGAATAAAGGACAGGAAAGCTTCAAGCTGGCTCCAGGATTATGTCGTCTACACAGCACAGGTGGCAGAAGCAGCCAAATGGGGTTTTGAACTGTTGCCTCATGAATTTTACTCACCCAACCTGTCACCCGAGCGGGTGGATGTGGATGGGCACATTGTCCTGGAGCAACAGCAGCCAGGATACAGTTATGACCCAAAATTGGAGTTACACTCCTTGTTTCTGTGTGAGCATGAGAACCTTTTGAAGTACCTTTGTACATAATGGTCTGGCTGCACCTTACTATCATTGTGCTACAGGTTTGGCTGAATTTCTGTAAAACCAATCACTGCCCTAATAGACAGGGTTAAACAAAGATGGGACTTCAGTGTTTCCTCAAAATAGTGATGGGTGGAATTGTTGTGATAGAATATTGGCACTAAGGGTGATAAGCACAGTCATTAAAATGTAGACTCCACCACAAAAACCCTTGCAGCCCTAAAACATGAATTGTCCTTATGTCGTGTGTGGTTACAAAATCAGTTGTTTAGCGATGCAGAGCCATCCAATTGGACAGGCCTCTGAAGTGACTGCTGGTTAAAAGGAAGTTTTAATGTGCTGCATTTTGGCCAATATTTCATATTTGCTGTGTTTTCTGACAACCCAAATATAAAAAGAAGTGAATGAGAACAGCTTCATTGGGAACCCCACTGCGTTAAAATGCAGTGTATGTGAGCACAGGGAGCAGGAGAGAAGTAGTCAGATGTAAACAGTGGACAAGTTTAGGTTGCACTAAAGTTTTCAAGTTTTTACCATTTGTGTTTGTCCCTCAATTTCCACAGAGCTCTGACCTTTGGACATACGATCAAATCTAATGGTAACATCTTGCAGCCAACAGCAGAACATTTGTCATGCTTTGCTTTTTTTCCTGACTGAGACATTTCAGAGTTAGCAGCTGGAAGCAGCAGGCAGTAAGGGAAGGAGCAGGATTCTGTAAATATTTAGCTGGACGACTATTGGTTAGTGGAGTTCCTACTTACCAACTGAACATAATTCTGACCGGCTTGTAAAACTAGGAGATCTCTAGTTGGGGGGAAAGTCTTCAAGAGATACAAAACACACAAAAAATGGATTCTCACAAAGCATCTCTAAGAACTTGCTCTGTAGCACTGAGCATACTTTCAGTTATTTTATTTAATATCTTTGAGTTCTGGATGATATGCAGCTCATGCTCCTACATGATTTGAATGTACATTTAATAAAAGTTGCTTTAATTTATTAACTTTTCAGATTGTACACAAAATATACAGTAACTTCTGAAATATAAAATTAAAGTTCTTCAGTAAAGTAAAAATTCCTCTAAATTGCTCCAAAATAATGTGTCGTAGAAGTAAATGTGCTTAGTTGCATTTTATCACTAAATTGTGATTTACAGTCTGTAGGTGTGCACATTTAAAGAAAAAGATCAAATGCTGTATTAAAATTAAAGCGTATCATGGATTAAACATGACTAACAAACACTTTGTTTGTGTTTGTGTTTGCTTGTAGCAGGTGAACGATGACTATCTGGGTGTGACGAGGAACACACTCTTCCAACAACACTGATAATGATAGAAGAGGGAGTGACAACTGCAGAGCAATGAGTGAAATTAATTTTTTAAAATTTAATATGAGACACTTTTCTGTCATTGAGACAGTAAATACTTGTTTCAAATTGGCTGGCAAGTGCACATTAAATTATATAACAAGTTAGTCATGTTTTTGCCGCTGCCAACAGTTCAACTACTGATCTGAATCAGCGCCTGTGCTATGTTAAACTGCAGGTAACCGTAGCAACAACACCTGAACTACAAACTATTTTTCCAGTTAAAGTTTCAGCAACGTTTATCATTAACACAGAATTAA